GTTTTTATTTCTACTTTCCCTTTATTTCTTCATTTAAAAAATAGGCTGCTGAAAGAGTTTACAAGTTGACGCCAAACGGTTGTCGAAGTAGGCGTATTTATTTGCATTTGGCTACAAGAAATATCCGTCCCTCAGTCTCTCTCTCTCTCTCTCTCTCTCTCTCTCTCTCTCTCTCTCTCTCTCGCTCACGCACACGAGGGAAGGAAGAGTGAGCATGAATTTTACTAGCCCAGCGCACTTATGGCAATAATTGTCATTTGATGGGCTAGCAAATTACTAGTATTACTTTACACTAACAATGATTAATCTATTAATACATAATAATAGTATTAATAATGTTAATGTAATAATAATAATAATAATAATAATAATAATAAGAAGAAGAAGAAGAAGAAGAAGAAGAATTGTTATTCTTATTATTTTTTATCATATATATATATATATATATATATATATATATATATATATATGTGTGTGTGTGTGTGTGTGTGTGTGTGTGTGTGTGTGTGTGTGTAGTCGTTGTTGTTTTTGTTATTAATATTGAGTGTGCCGATGTGAATTCAAACGCTACGCAAGTTCCAAACGTATATAAGGCATTTTCTTTACAGCATCCTGTCGCGCGTGCGTTTGGAGCGCTCGGTGGTAACCTTAAGTGGCGGGATGTTTGGAGAGCAGGCGCCGTGTAAACATTGTTGAAACCACTCATCGGGATTTACACGAGTCGAACTAGTTAACTGAGCTGGAGCTGCTCTGTGGGGGTATATGTATGTTCCCGCAGGCGCGGGGAGAAAGGCGTGTGGCCTGTTTGAGCTACCTGCGAAAGTAAACAGGTAAACAGAAGGAGATGGCTCTTGAAGTGAAGTATGGCCACTTAGCCTGTGCACATTTACCTCTTTACTTGCCGAACTCCTCGGTTCAGTTGTTCGGCTGCGGTCGCGGAGCGTGCAGTAGAGAGCTGCTGTCCAGTACTGCGCTGAGCTCCTCACACACACACACACACACACACACACAAAACCACACACGTACAGACCCCTGAGCTGAAATATCGCCAATGATATTCTTCACTTAGATTTTTCACCAAGAAAAAGATACGGTTATGTGAACAGATGGTAGCGTGAAGTGAAAAGTAGTGACGTTTTGTTTGATTTCTGGTCAACTCAGATGTGACTGAGCAGGTATTGTTATTGTTTTTTAATTTTTTTTAATCCCAAAGGGTTTATGTGGTTAAGATGTTGTATCAGGCAGACCTGGGTGGCTTTTGATGTGCTGGGAGTGACCTTGCGAAGGCGCGCTCAGCTCGACTTTGCTCCAGGCCCGGCCGGTTCAATGCTGCCATTGTCCTGCATATGTCGCTGCATGATTAATTCCAAGCAAAACTCTAGTGAAGCATTTACATTTCAGGTAACTGATTACAGGACAGACCGAGTCGGCCGAAAGAGGAAAACTCATATTGGAGTCCTTGTTATGCCATAAAAAAGTGTTTTTCACATTTCACCAGATTGCTTTAGAGCTATAAGAGCCTAATTTCTACTTCTATCGAATAAACTATAAATAAAACTAAAGTATGATCAATTATTTCTGTATTTAATCAATGTTATTATTGTTGTTGTTATTGTTATTATTTTAATTATTATTGTTGTTTTGTTGTATTGAGTATTATTTATTGACTATGAATGTATGAAAACAGAAAGAGAGAGAGTGTGTGTGTGTGTGTGAGAGAGAGAGAGCGATATGAAGGACTTTCCTTAATATTGTGGAGGGGCTCAGAAATGAATGAAGAGATAGTCCATTGAATGCAGTTGAATGCCATGACAACTAGGAACAACCTCAGATTTATTCCAAACAGTTAGGGCGTATTGTACACGGGCGTCAATCATCTATTATTTTGGCCCTTAAATAAATGCAAAAACTGCGGCCGCACAAAGGCTTCCAACAGGAGCCGGACATTTGTCTACATTTCCTCCATTGTCTGCAGCTTAGCAATCGGTTTGTATTTGTGTTTGCCCGGGTTCGACCACCCAGGATGAGCAGAGGACTGGCTAAAAACGTGCAACATTGTCACCCACATCACATACTAGATAGGAGGCACACAGGCGAAAAGAAAAGAGAGGCGGGAGGGGAAAAAACCGAGAGGAAAGGACACCGATCAACAATAATGCTCTGCTGTTCTGGAAGCAGGAGAACGAAGAACTTTAAGGGGAAAAAAAAGAAGAAAGCGGAGTGATTTAGCACATTCCCTGTTTGCTTAGAGCAGAGCGCTAATGATAATGCATCGTATAGGAGACGCATTTCAGTCTTCGATAATCAGTTTGGTAGCTTTAGAGAGATTTTAGGAAAAAGAATCAGAATTTGAGCAGCCTTTTGAATCAGACATCTAAAATGGTATTATAAGAATTTTTATTCAAAAATAAAATACGATAATAATAATAATAATAATAATAATAATAATAATAATAGTCTATCGTTGTGTTTCTACTGCATTGGTATTTGATGACTTAATCATGACCACTGAAAGCCCCTTCATCCTAATCCCGAACTAAAATATTGACCTAAAAGGTTTACATAAATTACCCTATTGCCAGCTGAAGCGCTATCAGCCCGTCTGAAGGAGAGTCCTGTTGAAAAAAAGCGATAATATAGTCATTAAAACTCGCCTGGTTTGTTTTTCAGTGTATTTCAGTTTTATCATATAGGAATATTTAACCGTTATTTACGCGAACGCGTTTTTTTCAGGGGCAGTTTGCTAAATTCGCGCTTTCAAGTTGGTCTGCGCGGTGTATAAAGCTACTTGGAGGTCCTTTGTATGTAAATAGGGTGTAAAAAGGCCCTCCCCATCTTTGTAATTAATTGACACGTTATACCACTCATCATGTTCTGAAGCACCAATGGTATAGGCTCGGATCTCCCCAAAACCCACAATTTCACATCGGCAAACACTGTCTTCATCCACTTGACTCCCAAGACCCGCCCACACGTGGCCAACCTTTTGCGTTTTTAATGCTTTTTCACTGCAGGTTCATGTGTTGAGACCAACCTTATATGGACTGATCAGTCCGGTAATGGCTTATTTCCCCCTAACACCCAGCGGTAGCACAGTATCCATGAAGCAGACATAGCTCTCCAGTCTCTTTGGCATTCTTCCTGGACTTACAGACCTGATTCCTCCGCTACTTTTTTAGGCAATGCTCTTCGACCGAGCCCCATGAGTCGCCTCCACTGTGCTTCGCCTTGAAAAGCGGCACCGATTCATTTTTCACCACATCTCGCTTGTTTCCTTTTTTGTCTTTTTGTTGTTTTTTTATTTCAAACAGAGGATTGGCAAACTGGTGCAGCAACTTTCCTGCGTTCACTGCATCCACTGCCCCAGAACATGTCGTTGACCAACACAAAGACGGGCTTTTCAGTGAAGGACATTTTGGACCTCCCTGACACTAACGATGAGGAAGGATCTATCACTGGGACCGAGGAGGATACGGAGGGTTCGGAGGCAGCCAAAACGCCCGGAGTGCTGGTGCAAAGTCCGCTAGAGAACGTCCAAAACCTGCCTTTAAAGACCCCTTTTTATGATAACGCTGACAATCCTTACACCAGGTGGCTTGCAACTACCGACAGCATCCAGTACTCATGTAAGTACCATTCAAGAATCCCGAAGTGAATTCCCTGCAGCGCTGTTGTAAGAGTGCTCATTCGGACTCAGGTCGTGTTTAATCGGTGTAGAGCAGTAGTGATTTCAGCTTTTTGGGGGGCAAGACTCAAAAGATTCACGGAGCCTCAGTGTTTTGCTGTGTCCGCCTGTTTTCACTGTTGCGCTTGTCTTAAGGCGTAACCCCATTACTGGATGTGTTAGGAACCCGCTTTAGTCGATGCCTGTTCTTTAGGTGAGATCTGGAACTGTAGACGTATAGAACCAGTATAGATAATTTAGTTGAAATGTTTACTGTGAGCTTTAGAGCGCTTACTTTGTCTTTGCATGGTATGAGCCCTTTGTTAATGAGTAAGTGTTGGCTATGGTAAACCATGTTTCACTGGATAAGGAATAGGACGCTGTAATTTGCGCATAATAAAGATTGTGGAGAACTAGTTTGCTCAGATAAGCGAAATCTATAGTTATTCATAACTTATTCACGGCTCTGAAGTAAGATTTAAAGTAAATGTTGCATTTTTTGACAAATGCACATGAGCAAATGTGCATGTTTTGAGGTCCAAATACTCCAGTGTGCACTAACAGCACCCATATTATTCATATAGTAATGTTCCCTGTACTCTTCCACTACGCAGTGCACGGACTCTCCGCAAACTCCCAAGACTCTTCAGCAAAATCCCCGGAGCCCTCCGCGGACGAGTCTCCGGACAACGACAAGGAAACTTCGAGCAGCGGCAGCGACTCTGGTAAGAAGCGAAAAAGGAGGGTGCTGTTTTCCAAGGCGCAGACGTACGAACTTGAGCGCCGGTTCAGGCAGCAGCGGTACCTTTCGGCGCCCGAGAGGGAGCACCTCGCCAGCCTGATCCGCCTGACGCCCACCCAAGTGAAAATCTGGTTCCAGAACCACCGGTACAAAATGAAGAGGGCTCGCGCGGAGAAAGGTATGGAGGTGACCCACCTGCCCTCCCCCCGGCGGGTGGCCGTGCCTGTGTTAGTCAGGGACGGCAAGCCGTGCCACACGCTAAAAGCTCAGGACCTGGCGGCCACCTTTCAGGCTGGCATCCCCTTCTCGGCGTACAGCGCCCAGTCTCTCCAGCACATGCAGTACAATGCACATTACAGCGCCGCCACCACGCCGCAGTTCCCCACGGCGCATCACTTGGTGCAGACGCAACAGTGGACTTGGTGAGCCGTTAGGGACTCTGCCAGGGCTGCATTTTAAAGACCTTGTTAGGGAGTTTTCCAAAACGAAAAAGGAAAAAAAAAATACAAAAAACAAAGAGAGAAAAGAAAGAAAAAAAAAGAAAAGAAAAAGACTTTTGGTTCCGCAGCTTGACCCATCGTCACCGTTTTATTTTCGGGGCTGATGTGTGCGCCGTGTTTACATGTTTTCGTCCAGAAAACCGGGTCCAGCCTCTCTCCCCCCTCAGATCTAAGAATGTTAAAGCTCTTGTGAAATTTTGTAAAATATGTTTGTGTGTTGTAGAAATGTTTTCCTTTTTTGTCCCTCGTGTTATAAGCACGTACAAGACCACTTTATAATTATAGAAAATTTTATTTCTTGCTCTTTTTTTCTCCAATGGACCGAATATATTTATGGCCATGAATAAAACATTGGCAACTTTTAGCTTATTTTATTTGGTTTTCTTTTTCTCTGTAAATATCTGTGGTAACTGTATGCAATGCAGATATATTTGGCCGCTCAACTAGTCATAAAGATATAGTTCACCCGATATTTAGGGCAGGAAAAAAAATGGAACAGCAGTTGTAGATAAATATCCCTCATAAATATGTTGATAGCAGTTGCAAAGCGCGCTGATGAAAGAATACCCCAATTTTTATAAGACTTTTAATAAAATGCTGTGTTTCAGAAATTTCGTTTGGGATTGCGTCTGGTTTTAACGGGGAGGACGGACTGGAAAAGTTGGAAAATGGTTTCAATTTCAGCGCTATTTTCAAATTTTCAAACACTGCACCCCTTCATGGGCGTAAAGACTGGCACGGTGTAGGTTTAGGAGTGTTTATAGACTGTTTAACACAAAAGTTGTCTGAGTGCGTATAGTTTTGCTCCGCTTTGTATTCATCCGCGGCATTAATTGCCTTCAATTTTCCGAATTTATCTGTATAATCACTTCAGGAATAAGAAGGCTAAAGTCATTTGTGAGACGGGGGTAAAAATCCACTCACTTAATATAAGAGGGCTTCTTCAGCTAAGCAGCCTTTCATTCGGCGGCTCTCGTCTTTTCAAGCTCCGCGGTGCTCCACGAGCCGGATGCTGAAATGCCACATTTGGAAGTCCAGCGTGGACGTTTTACTTTTTGAGTCCGTTTTAAACTTTTAAACCTGTTAGACCTGCTCAGTCAGTGTTTTAGGTAGATTATATTGCCTCATTAGATTGAGCAGCGCTGCGTGTTTAATATGCTGAACGGCTGATGCTACAAAATGCAAACATGGTTAAATATGTGTGCGCGTTACGTTTTACAGCGCAAAATCATTTAGTTAAGAGCAGATTACTGAGAAACTCAGAAGGTAATTGGCCGAACAATACGAGTGTTTCTCCACACAAAAAAGTATCTCTTAGAGAAGCAAAAGTTCCCCGCAAAATCTTACGTTTTTTCCCCGCAAATAACAACAGATGTTCGAGCGACCCCCGCTATCATTAAACAAACTTCAGAACTGACACACGGCGCTAATTATTTACAGAACGATCTCGAGGGAGCTGAGCTTTGATTTATTTTTTAGGCGAACTGGTCGTGACGTGACGAAGTTTTATTGCGCTACATCGCAATAGTTGTTGATTTAGCGCACATTTTACTTTTATGTATTTCTGAAAAAAAAAACACTTTATTCACTAACTAATATTCTCTAATTGATTTATTTTTTCATTTTTGTTGTTTTTCACCTGCTTAAAACTGAAGAAGTATCACTACCATAACTCGGTAGTTTATTGTGTGCGGTTGGATCTGACTTTGCGCACAAAACACGAATTTATTAAGAAATTACGGTAAGAAAGTGATACGGTAATTGTACACGTGATGTACACAAAACGAACTTTGATTCTATTTTTATTGTTTGTTTATGAATCTATTTAAAAAAAACACACAGTTCATGAACAAAAAATGTCAGTACTGTATTTTTATAGGGTGCGTTATGCAGTTAAAGGCTCCGATCTGCGTTCAGCTCGCTGGGGGAAAATCAAGTGTGTGTAAACGGGGGAAGCGGTGTAATGCATTAGTGTATGAAACGCTGATAGGCTCTAATAATCGAGAGTGTGACACACTGTGACAGAGCAGTCTATCGTTACACAATATACTGTACACGACACAGAAAGAGCACAAAGGCATGGGGTCGCTGGTTGTGGATGTTAGAGGCGTGTATTTTAACAGGGGGAGTGTATTCTTTGTTGGCTGGAGAGACAGAGAGAGAGAGAGAGAGAGAGAGACAGAGAGAGGGAGAGAGAGAGTCTGTGTGTGTGTCTCTCGGAGTTTCTTGGTGCTATTCAGTTCCTTTATCTCGACCAGTGCATCCCGAATCAGGGAGATACATCCTTGGTTTTTTTCTTTCTTTTTTTTTTTTGTGAGCCTGTCTGTTGGTGCCATTGTGGTCCTTGTTGTACACGTCCTATTCCATATGGACAGCTGGGCCCACGAGGAGAGAAAGGGATCCTTCACAAAACCCAAATTGTGTCCAGCTTTCAAATGCAGCATTGTTGTCTCTCAAAGAAAAACGAATTAAAAATTCGTGCTATATCTATTCTGGAAAGAGGCAAACCCATTCACAGATAACAGGGAGTCCTTCTTCCTTGATATAGCAGTGCTAACAACAGTTCTCTCACTGTCTCTCACTGTCTCTCTCTCTCTCTCTCTCTCTCTCTCTCTCTCTCTCACCCCTTCTTTTCTGCCTGTTGAAAGAGAATGATTATTGTCTGTTCTGCAAAGTCTGCTGCAAAACTATTTAAGACGCCAAATCGCATGCTTTTTATTTCCTGCCTTATTCCTGTTTGGCTAGTTATCTTTTTTGTCATGGAAAAATATCAGTTAATTCTCTCACGTGGACGAGATTATACGTGAAAAAGGAATTTAATCTTAACTTTGCGTCTTCTAATTTCAGTTCTAATACTGACGACACAAAAAGAAAGTGTACATCTTTTTTAGGGCGACATTCATCTGATAAAGACAAAAAAAAGATTTGACGAATGCGTCCAGATTGCGTTCATTATTATTATTATTATTATTATTATTATTATTATTATTATTATTATTATGTAAAAATAAAGTTGCCATAGGTGAAGGTCAAATTAGAGTTCACGTGGATAGTTTTAAACTCTATAAGTGAACACCCAACGCACATGTTTATAAAAATGATTGTTTGCATTCATTTCTAAATGGGTACAAAATGCTTTACAGTTCGTCACAGATATTGAAATATCCCACAGTGGTCGTAAGAAGATGAAGACGTTCAGGACCAGCAGGCAGAGCTCAGGTCTGATTTACCAGCACCAGCGACCACCATTCTGATGGAAAAATAATCCGTGTCATCTCTTTAGAAGCGCTCTATTTCTCTGAAATTGGTTTCGGTTACAGAGTGTTTGAGAGAGACTTTATAAAGAAAATAAACACAGCCACAAACGTTGAAGCGAACAGCGAGCTAACCCGTGGGTAATACCATTTCATGCCTCAAAATAGAATTCTTCAGGAAATGTGCACTTGGGAGTCCATGGATCTCCGTAATCGTGCCCATTTGAACCGCAACATAAATCATGTTTTATCACGCACATCTCCAAGTAACGAGGGTTCTCAGTGCCATAATAAGAGGGACTTTTATTTAAAGGAAGTAATCTAGTCTTTTATTGCCTCTCAGAAGATCCAGATTAGATTCCCCCACCGGCGTGAAGCAGATACTGGGCGAACTGCTGCAGCAGGCCTGCTTAATGCGGCGTGGGAGACAGAGGTGGTCCTGTAGAGAACCACAAGATGGCGACAAAGCCCTTCATAAAGCGAGCTCTCCCTCGACGCCCCTCATGATGCGCTTCTTCTAATTGGCCGAGTTGCGTTTCATTCATTAAATGCCATAAAGAGGTCTTCAGTGTCCGTTTAAATGAGAACATTACACTTTAATGGTGAAGGACGTTTTAAGGGTTAAAACGCCACACAGGCTTAGTCCACAGTGAATGCAGGCAGTGTTAATGGCTGAGGAGGAGAAAGCGAGATAGGAGTGGACGCACTTTAGCGCTGAAGATCCACAGAGTGGCGCAATTGGCTCGTAGAAAGAAATATCATTCACTTTAAAGACGACTCAGACTTAACCGCTTCTCCAAACTCTTTCTAAGGAAACTGCTTACAACAGTTCTAAGAATATTCAAGACCCCTACCAGTAACGGTAAATGCACACGGTCTAAGTTGTAGTAAGTTCTTTGAAAGCCTTCGTTGCAGCAGGTTAACAAAACTGGTTGTTATGGACATCATTTCTATTAAGCTTTCATACTTTTAACCAAATATCTTTTAATTAGTATTTATTTCATTCTCACATTACTTCATCCATGTACAGTGTCTGTACCCTCGAAGTATTAAAATAAAACTGATAGTTGTTGAACGCCATTGTAGACTGAGGTGGCGCTCTTGTTACACTAATTATTCTTAACCTAGTCTAGTCCTTGACGATGGACTAAAGGTCTTACTGTTCAATTCCAGTGTGCTTTAATGTGTTCATGTGTGTTCATACAATTTCTTGCTTAAGTTCTCTAGTGTGCAACTGATGGACAGCTCTGGCTGCATTTGGGCTGGTTGTATTGCCCAGTGGCTTCTTGGTTAGGACAAACAATATCCAAGCAACAACAAGTACTGGGAAGAGCTGGGTCTGTAGTCGGAATAACTACCCAGCGCATACTACAGAATTCATGATCTGCACAACTAGTAGAACACATACTACAGAGTTCATGATCTGCACAACTAGTAGAACACATACTACAGAGTTCATGATCTGCACAACTAGTAGAACACATACTACAGAGTTCATGATCTGCACAACTAGTAGAACACATACTACAGAGTTCATGATCTGTACAACTAGTAGAACACATACTACAGAGTTCATGATCTGCACAACTAGTAGAACACATACTACAGAGTTCATGATCTTCACAACTAGTAGAACACATACTACAGAGTTCATGATCTGCACAACTAGAAGAACACATACTACAGAGTTCATGATCTTTACAACTAGAAGAACACATACTACAGAGTTCATGATCTGCACAACTAGTAGAACACATACTACAGAGTTCATGATCTGTACAACTAGTAGAACACATACTACAGAGTTCATGATCTGCACAACTAGTAGAACACATACTACAGAGTTCATGATCTTCACAACTAGTAGAACACATACTACAGAGTTCATGATCTGCACAACTAGAAGAACACATACTACAGAGGTCATGATCTGTGCAACTAGTAGAACACATACTACAGAGTTCATGATCTGCACAACTAGAAGAACACATACTACAGAGTTCATGATCTGTACAACTAGTAGAACACATACTACAGAGTTCATGATCTGCACAACTAGTAGAACACATACTACAGAGTTCATGATCTTTACAACTAGAAGAACACATATTCTTT